AACTAGAAAGAGTTGGTAAATACCAAGAAAAGCTATTTGTTTTTGTTTTTCTTCTCCAACCTGGGTATCATGTCCTTAGTGTTTTAAGGGTATCTAAGGGTGCTTACAGATATAGTGGAAAAAGAGCACTGTTGATTTCAGATGTGGTGGTTCACACCTGTACTGTCAGCCCTTGGAAGGCTAAGGTAGAAAAACTGCACTCAAATTTAATGCCAGCCTGGACAAGAGTGAAGCCATTTCAAAAATAAAAACAAAATAAAAATGCTGTCCACGAACTACCACTTAAAAACATAATAGTTTCAGGCTGGGGTTATAGTTTAGTGGCAGAGCTTTGGGCTTAAACCTCATCACCTCCCAAAAATAAAATAAAAATAATGGTCTCTATTGGTAAAACCGTGATAATTATTTTCAGTTCTTTAGCTGTTTTACTTACCTTTCATTTTCACCTTTAACCAGTCCCACCCAGAGAAATGTAGCTCAGTTGGTGTAGGACTTGCCATACTTTCCCTGGACTTGATCTATAATGCTGAAGAAACACACAGAAACACACACAGAAACAAACACACAAAACACACACAAAACACACACACACACACACACACACACACACACAAAATGAAGTCTATAAAGGTGCTAAGTACCTGTAATCCCAGTGGAGGCAAAGGATCAGAAGTTGAAGATCATCCTTGGCTCCATATTTTAAGCCTAGGCTACTTGAGACCCTCCCTCAGAAAACAGCCACATGCAGATAAAGCAAATTCATAAACATTTCATAATGTATTCTGCCCCTAGAACACTTAAAGGTGAGTACAGGAATTATATACTAAGAAACAAAACACAGAGAAACAAACTTTTAAGATAACCTTTTTTTGTAACATAAAAATCCCTAAATCAGTCGGGCGTTGGTGGTGCACGCCTTTAATCCCAGCACTTGGAAGGCAGAGACAGGCGGATCTCTGTGAGTTCGAGGCCAGCCTGGGCTCCAGAGCGCGTGCCAAGATAGGCTCCAAAAAGCTACACAGAGAAACCCTGTCTCGAAAAACCAAAAAAAAAAAAAAATCCCTAAATCACTTAAAGATCAAATAAATCGAGATTACCAAGCAACACTGATTTGCCATGTGGATCCTTAAGTCTCTCCTCTATACAAGGAGGGGGGTGTTAAATGACAGAGATTGCTTAATGATCTTATGAAATATGTATTTACTAATCTGTTTTGCAAAAAACAAGAAAACAAGTTCATAAAGTTAAATGATTGGCCCAAAGTGAAAAAAAAAACACAGCTTGTAGAATATTAATCAGATGGGCTTCTATTTTTTAAATTATTCCTACCGTACTTCAGCGTTTACAACACAATTTGTGATACTACTAATGTCTCTGTAAAATAAAAATAAAAACATGGCTAGAAAAGCAAGCTAAAGGTAGTTGTGCAAGGTCACCTCTACACATTACTGAAGGTCACCTTCAAGGGAAAGCAATTATGAAAATGATTTTTTTTCTCTCCAATCCGATGTATTCTCCATATATACTGCTAGTCTCAAATTTCCATGTACTTGCTTAACTTTCAAACAGGGGAAAATGACCACGAGTTTTCCCGCTAGTTAATAGTCCGTTAATAAACTACAGATGAATAAAGCTGCCAGGCTACCACTTAGGGTTTTCCCTTGCTATGAATCCAGGTGAGGTAGATTTGGTTTACTGCCACCGTTGCGGTATAAAGATCAGTTCCTCTGTTTGGGGTGACAGATACACTCCCAAATCACTTAGAAAATCACTTAAGGAAAGTGAGGTGTCCGCCGAGCGTTCTTCCTGGAAATCATAGGTCCCTGAGGAATGAGAATGCAGGAACACAATGGCGGGATGATAAAGCCACTGTCACGGCTACCACCCCAGTGACTTGAGAACACCCAGAGGACCGTGCACCTAGAATTAAAAAGTGCAGGATGCTGGCAGAGGAAAAGGGCATGAAAGCACGAGGACACAGGGGTCCGCGGCTGCTGTAAGGACTCGCCCACATTATATGCTCACCTTGGAGACGGCTTAGTGCGTTTCTGGCGAAGGGCAACATCGCGGAGAAGTAGCTGAAACTGCAGGGACCACAGTTACTGCCTCGGTGCAGATTCGCCCGGGATACCCTTGCAAAGAGCCCTGAAAAACAAAATGGCTTTCACTGGGGATTCCGTATGATATTTGGTAAGATATCGCGAGATTTGAGAGTTGACCTATAGAAATTGTGATCCTGTTTCTGGCGAGGAAAAAGAAAGACCTCTGGGAAATGTAGTTTCAAGCTTCATAAGGATCTTAAAATAGTATTTACTAAACAGTGAGAGAACTCTTTGAATGCGAAGGTTTAGGACTCTACAAATGAGAGTTGAGACACTGAGCTTGCATAAGGCACCAGCTTCAAGGTGGCGCTAAAATTCCAGAGGTTTAGATCAGGTGTCTCACTTCAAACTATTGTCAATTCAAATTTTTAATTTTCTGTCTCCTATTACCTGTACAAATAGGTTTAACCTTTAACCATTTTTTTGTAATTTTGAGGGACAGGGGGTGGCTGAAATATTCTCTCTTTGTAGTTCTGGTTATCCTGGTCAGGCACTGAATTTACAATCCTCCTTCTTCAGCCTCCCGAGTAGCTGGAATTAAGCTGCCCCATGAGGCCCAGCTTAATTTGTTCATATCCTCTTTTCACATTGTTTCTCTTCTTTGAGACTGACACTCACCATGTAACCCAAGTGGGCCTCAAACATGTGACACTCCCGCTTCAGTCTGCTAAGTGGTGAGATTATATGCATGTGCCACCATATTTGGTTATTGCATTCTCTGTCTCTGTCCTTTCTCTTCTCTCTATTTTCTGGAGACAGGGTCTCTTGTAGCTCAGGGCAGAATTCCCTATGTAGCCTAGGATGATATTAAACCCCTGATCCTCCTGCCTCTCTCTCTTGAGTGCTTGGATTACAGGTATGCACCACCATGGTCATCTTATTCCCTCTCTTTACATTGAGACCAGTTACTTTCCTTTCAACCCACATCTCCTTAACACTCCAAATAGAGGACTAATTCCATGGGGATTTTTACCTGAAAGAGTAATCACAAAGTATGTTCCATACACTCAAAATAAATGCAACTTGGGCTTGGGATGCAGCTCTGTGGTAAAATACTTGCCCATCTTGAATGGGGTCCTGTACTCAATCCCTTGCACTGCAAAATAAATAAATCCAAATTATAAGTAGTTTGATTTTATTTTGCTGTTACATGTGGTTTTTCTTCTTGAAGGTATTATTATTTTCTAGTGAAGCACCTCAGTTTTATAATCCTCTATAATCCAGCAAACAGAACTGGACCAAAAACTGGCCACTTCCTGAGCTGTGAAACATTATCTTTCATTTTAAAGAAGACTGTTGGGATGTCTGATGAAAACTGGCTGAGACCGCTGAAGATCTTAAAAAGAGGGAAAAGCTTCTTCACAATTTTCCTTTTGTTCCCACCAACAAAACTAACTAGTAAAAAGGCATTTGCTGTCTGCCAAGCCCTCTTGTTTCCAGTGAAGAATTTTAAAATACCACTAATAATTAAAAAAAAAAAACTTTTTAGGGGCCATAGCCATTGCCTTTGTGTGGTTCCACACTTAATGCATGGGCTGCCAAAATGGCAAAAAAATTAAATTTTTATTTGCAGTGTGTGTGGGGGGGGCACCTGTATACTGTGGTGCATATATAGAGGTCAGAGGACAATTTGCAAGATCCAAATTCACAGATCAGCCTGCCTCTGCCTCCCGAGTGCGACTGAGATAGGCATGGGCCAACACACCCGACTAGAATATTTTAAATTTTTCATTATTTTAATTTAATATGTGTTTGTGTCTCTTTTGGTATCTGCACAGAGAGCAGATGTCTGAGGAGGCCATGAAATCCTGGGCCCAACACCTGGAGTTGCAGGCAATGAATTCGTGGCCAGCCTGGTCTACAAAGTAAGATCCAGAACAGTCAGGACTGTTATTCACAGAGAAACCCTGTCTCGAAAAACCATTTTTTTAAAAAAACTGTGTGTCTATGAGTATTTTGGTTGCACGGATATTTGTACATCAGGTGGGGTGCCTGGTTCTTGTGGAGACCAGAATAAGGCATCAGATCCCTTGGAACTAGAGATTTGGTTGGTTGTTAGCTGTCATGTGGGTGCTGGGAACGTCCTCTGCAAGAACAGTTAACTGTTGAGACATTTCTCCAACCCTTCTTCAAGAATATTATACTAAAGCCGGGCATGGGGGCGCATGCTTTTAATCCCAGCACTCTGGAGGTAGAGGCAGGTGAATCTCTGTGAGTTGGAGACCAGCCTGGTCTACAAGAGCTAGTTCCAGGACAGCCTCCAAAGCCACAGAGAAACCCTGTCTCGAAAAACCAAAAAAAGGAAAAAAAAAGAATATTATATTAAATAAGTAGGTCTCAAAAACCCGGTTTTTTTTTGTTTTTTTTTTTTTTTTAATCTAAGATCTCTTGTAGCCATGGCTAGACTGGAACTCTGAAGGTCTGTTTAATTTCTTGAACTCCTAATCCTCCTGCCTCCATTTCCACGCCCCTCCAAATGATAAGAATTTGGTTGTGAGAAAACACAGGGGCTCTTTCTTGAGACATTTTTAATTGCTCAGGCAGGCCTGGAACCTTGGCAATGGAGCCAAAAGTGACCTTGAACTCTTAGTGCTCTTGCCTTCACATTCCAAACCCAATGCTTGGATTAGAGGATTGCATTACTTAGGCCGGCTTGAATTTCAAACAATTGTAAATGAATGCTTTCTGGAGGATGATTCCATTTTTAAATGTACAAACCATTTTGTACAACGACCCTCCCCCCTTACCCCCCCTCACACCCAAAAGAACCC